CAATAAAACTAATAAGGCAGTAATAATTGTAGACAACAGGCTTTTACAGGTCATAAAAGGGAAGCTAAGGCGTAAGCCAGTTAGACAGGCCCCCACTCTTATCAATGCATTTATAATCTGTGATAACATTCTCGGCACTGATAACACGTTAAAACCGCCCGGTACTAGCCCTCAGTCCAAAGTGTTTAGTATGCACTGTACAAATACATAACTCTTGTTGCTAGAAGGAAGAGAGGCAAGGATGATTTTGGTTATGCGGGCGAGGAAAGAAAGGCCAATAAAACTAAGTAAACTGAAATGGCAAAAAGAGATTTTTCCTAGCTAAAGATAAATTTTTTCGAAATTTTCGGGTAATACAGGGCGCATACTTAATACGTAAGTGCCGCGGGATGAAACAGTGCTGTTTTTAATCCTGCCTTCGTTTCCAGTTCATTTTTTTTTTCATACATTACTCCTATCTATCCGATTTTGTCAGTTGCTCTGCGTGTGTTTACAGCTAACGGATGAAATACTGAATGCAAACTTATTTGTGCGTTAGGAAATATAATTTTAGAAAAAATCCTAACATATATGTTTGTCATGCATTTTTGTGTGCTTGAGTTATACGAAAATGCGTTATATGAGAGCAAAATCGTATCAATATGTGTGTATATTTTCACGTCCTTGTAATTAGCCCCCAAATGAGATTTTAGAAAATTTATCACTTCTGTGGTTCTCACGCAGTGTTGAAGAATTGCAGTTAAGTTATAGCAGAAGAATCAATTTGAACACCTACATGGAATTAACGAGAAGAAACACGACGATGAAACAACGGCTGATTAAATCTGAAAGCAAGAGTGCTGATTCTGTGCAAAGATGTCCGCATATGCTTGAAAAAATCCAAAAAATCGCAAAATTGCAACAACTTTTATTTGGGGCATCAGTTTATACAATAATTATAATGCAAATGAAAATTAAGGCACCCAAAGAAGAATTCGATATTATCTAAAATGATGCTGGAACTACATTTCCTCATTTGGCCAGTACTGCTTGAGCTCAAAAAAGCCGTGGAATGATGCAAGATAGATGTCAGCAAGTTGCAGCATATCTTCAGTAAAACGCTGAAACTTCACTCAGTTTTAGGCGATAACATGCGACATTAGACTGTTGTGGACAGCGCTATGCTATTTCAGCCTGTTTTAGAGATATCATAAAGGTAGTGTACACCAGGAAGAAGAGTTTAGCTGGTCATACGGCAAGAATGAAAGACAAAAGATGAACAGAGCGAATTATTGAATAGTGTCAAAACAATTGTAAAATAATACAGGAAAGGATGCTAACATGGTGAAAGGGTTTGTTTGAGCGGCTGGATGGAATAATTTGTATGAGAGAGATTGAAAGTGAAAAAGTATGAAGAAGTATGAAGAAGCATCAGTGACAAGAACAAAAACAATGGCGAAACAACAAGGTAATCGAAAAGTAGTACCATTTACCGGTGAGCTTCTTCAAGCTTTGTTTTACATTTTAGAACTG